AACAGACTTAAAACCCTCAACAGTATGCATTCTTCTTTTTCCCCAGAAAAAAATTCTAAAGACAATAACTATATAGGCAACGTTTGTTTACCTTACGTAAAAGAACTTTTTCCAGTGTGGAAAAAACTTTTTCATAAGGTAGACATCAGACTAACCTGCAACATAGATCTAACTCTTAAATCCCTCTACACAAACCTGAAATCTCCCACTAGTTTAGAACGTACTTCCAACATTGTCTACAAAATAAATTGCAATGATTGCCCTTCTACTTACATAGGTGAAACCGGACAAAATTTAATAAAAAGACTCAAACAACACGACAATAATTCGAAAAAACCCAACCAAAACCAAACTATGATAACAGAACACATAAAAAATTTCAAACACTCCTTTAACTTTTATAATGCCAGTATTCTCTACCATGAACGGAACACCATTCAGAGACGTTTTGCAGAATCTTGTTTCATATCAATATGTGATCACGCGGTGAACAAAAGATCGGATTCTTCCTTACTCTGCGATAACTACCAAGTAATACTAAATAATGTTTCCAAATTTATCTCCTCTGAACAAAACTAATTCTGACCTTACTAACCTTGCCAACACTTCCTAGTTTAACTTCGGCCTTGATACCCGAGCTTTACCTACCCATGCATAGCAAATTTTGAATAAACCTTAAAAATTTTTTATTTTAGATATTTGAGTTATTAGTATAACTACCTAGTAATACTAAATAACATTTCCAATTTTTTTCTCCTAATTCTAACCATACAAACCTAGCCTAACATTACTAGTTTCAACTCCGACCATTTTCTACCTACCCGCTTATAACAATCCTGGAATGACCCTTAAAAATCTCTCAAAACATGTGTTCATACATGCCTCGGTACTCGCAAAGTACAGAAGTCGTGGCAGAAATTACATAATTCTACTTACATTTTTGTTCAATAAAACTATCATTTTTCTGTTTACATCATACAAAAAATTATAAAAAATGCATAGTGTTGACAAGTTAGTTGTATAAATGTTAGTGCCAATCTCTATTGCTGTGTACACTTCTCTATATGTGACCAACCAACGTAATGTAAGTCCACTTGTATTTTATATGTATTATCCATCTTCATAAATATTTTGTTTGCTTTACATATATACGAGTTTACATATATTGTATGTTTATATATATATATATATATATATATATATATATATATATATATATATGTATTTGTATGTATATATGTATATATATGTATATTACTTATTTACACGTATGTTTGTATGTATATACATATATATGTGTATACATGTATTTGTATATGCGTATATATGTATGTATGTATATATATATATATATATATATATATATATATATTTGTGAGCATTTATGTACATATGTATATATATGTATTGTGTATATATATATATATATATATATATATATATATATGTATATAGATATATATATATATATTATGTATATATATTATATATTATATATGTATGTATATATGTATATATGTATGTGTGTATATATGTATATATACATGTTTATGCGTATTTTTTTTTTTTTTTTTTTTTTTTTTTTTTTTTTTTTTTTTTAGGAAGGAAAAATCTTTCAAAGACACCGTGTGTTTAAAAGATGATGGACGGTAGTGTGGGATTTCCACCCACTAAAAAACCTCCTCTTCTCATTTCCCCGCATATGATCACGAGGAAAACTGGGTCGGAACCGCGTTAGCATTTCTTCAACCCAGTCCGTGTTGCGTCACGTGACGTTAGCTCCTAGGTTTATTGGTCCCTCTCGGCGTTTTTTGCTGTCAAGAGGCGCCGTGCATAAGCTGCTACCTCGGCCCAGTTTTCCTTGCTTTGCAGCAAGTATTTACAATATTCTGGGATTAAGGGCCCTTCCCAGGGACAATTCGGTGTCAGCCCTGAAGTTCTTCCAGCGCGTGCACTTAAAAAAGGTGTGCTCAGCATCGTCGGCTTTTCCGGACAGTATTGCACGTCGGTGATGTGTGCAAACCGAACCTGAGAGATATGCATTGAACGAGCCATGACCCGTCATCATCTGAGTTAGAAAGAAGTCTGTTTCGCCATGCTTCCTGTCGAGCCAGGCCTCGATATTAGGGATCAGGCGTGCTGTCCATCTACCACGATCAGACGCCTGCCACCTACTTCCATTCCTTCAGGGTGTCCTTTCTGTCCATCTACCACGATCAGACGCCTGCCACCTTACTTTCCATATTAGGGATCAGGCGTGCGGTCCATCTACCACGATCAGACGCCTGCCACCTTACTTTCCATTCCTTCAGGGTGTCCTTTCTCACCATTGCCCTCGCTTCGCTGGCATTGAGGCTCCTTTTTGAGGTTATACAACCTGGCCCTTTCATTCGCCAAAAGGTCTATAGGCGGAGCTCCAGCTATAACAAGCACTGCGTCTTCGGAAACTGTGCGATAGGCACAAGCCACTCTAAGTGCTCCTCGCCGCTGCACTGCTGCCAGTTTCTTACGATACGTCTTCTGTTGTAATGTATGCGCCCAGATTTCCGCTCCGTAAAGCAGGACTGAGTGAACCACCTCCAGGAGAGCTCTCTCTCTTTTTGGCACGTGGGCCGATAGTATTGGCCATGATTCTCGATAGACTAGACACAGTCTTGCTAGCCCTTGTACACGTGCGTTCCAAGTGTTCACGGAATGTCAGCTTTGCATCTAACTGAACGCCCAAATAGCGGACTGACTTTGTAGACGTCAGTGTTAGCCCGTCGATGATTGTACTAAACGGTTCTGGGAACCATTTTTGGGTAGGGACTACCATCTCCGTTTTCTCTTGGCTAGCTTCAGATGGTGCTGGTCCAACCAGGCCGCGACGGCTTCGATGGTGGAATCGACCAGTACCTCGGCCTCTTCAACGCTGTCTGCCACAATAGTAGCTGCGACATCATCCGCAAACCTGTGAGATGCACCTGCGGGGGTAAGGGAATTTCGAACAGCTCGTCATAGTCAGCGTTCCACAGATCAGGTCCCATAACCGAACCCTGTGGTGCACCAGCTGTTATCTTGCGACTCACTGTTCCCTCAGTGGTTTCAACGATGAGTACTCGATCGTCCAGGTAGCTGTCCACCATTGTCAAGATGTCATCTTTCACCCGGAATCTCTTCTCCAGCGCCTCCAGTATATCCTTCCACGATGCGCTGTTGAAAGCATTCTTCACGTCCAACGTGAGAAGTATACAAACTTTCCTAGACTTTAGGCTGCCAGCCCACGATTTTGTTGCGGTTTCTACAACTACATGTTTATGCGTATATGTATGTGTATACGTGTATAGCTATAGTTACATAGATAGGTATGAGTATATGTATGCTACATACATGTACATGTACGTCGTTGTGAATATGCATGCACGTTGCGTATATGTATATACGTATATTTATATATGTATAGTCGTACATGTATTTGTATACATATATAGGTATATATTGTTGTATCTGTATATGTATATGTGTATTATATGTTTGCATGTGTGTGTATATGTATATATGCATGTATATATATATATATATATGTATATGTGTGTATATGTGTATGTATATATATGTATATATGCGTAGGTTTATATGAGTGTACTTAGATATTTTTGCCTATATTTTTTAATTATTTATTTAATTCTAATCTCTACTACCTTTCCTATTTTTTATATTTGGTCTGTTGTTAAGTGTTGCTATTTGTTAATTTTTCTCTTATTGTATAGTTACTTTACCAATCCACATATATTATAATTACCTAGATATACTAATTTGCATACTGTTTTTAGATCCACTGATGATGACATTAAATTGAATGTCGAAACGTTTGGAAATAAAGATTATTTTATAAATCTTTGGCTTTTCTTTGTTTGATGTATCGCCCTCAAGAACTCACTCATATATATATATATATATATATATATATATATATATAATATATATATATTAACTTTTATATAAAATATAACGTCGAGACTCTTCTATAACTTTCATTGCTAATGCATTTAATTCATATATTAATATTATTAAATTAATATAACAATATGAACTTTCCGCTCGGTAAGTTATAGTAGTCGGAAAAAAATCGAAAATGAAAATTTTTGCATATCTTTATGTTTCAGTATTTCTGAACATTTTGGCATACCTTAGAAAAAATGGATGTATGTGTGTGTACGTAGTGGGTAAGTATGTATGTGTGGAATCAATTTTTTGTCCACGAATTCGAGAACACGGATCATCCGTTTTGAATGATTCATAAAAGCATGTGGAAACGCGTTGATTATTTTTTAACAGAAGCATGTGTAGCCATTTCAAAAATACGTCAAATGTAACAAAAATACCAATTTTGAGAGAACGGAGCGTTCAATTTGAATGATGTAAAAAACATTCGATTGTGATTCGATCGTGCTGATTAGTTTTTGGCCACTGCAAATCCCGCTGTCTCAGAGATACGTGGTAAAAAGTGTCAAGAATGTCATTTTTTGAGAACGAAGCGTCAAACATTCGATATGTGTTCGATGGGGAGACGTACTGATTAGTTTTTCACAAAGATAAGTTTAGTCGTTTCAAAGATATGGGGTAAATAGTAACATTAATAGCAATTTTATGAGAGCGGAGCGTCTGATTTGAATGATTCAAAGAACATTCGATTCGAACTGATGGGGCACTGATTTGTTTTTGGCAAAGACAGGCCCAGCGCTTTCGAAGATACGAGGTAAAAAGAAACAAAAATGGCAATTTTATAAGAACAAATCGTTTGATTTGAATGATTCTAAAAATAGATTCCGATATCACTTGTATTGATATAATAAGCTGTTGTAAAGATCCGTTAAAAAAAATTAAAAAATGCTATTTGGCGGCCTTAATTGATTATTAGACATACACACATAAAATTACCAGACATTTTATAGAGTAGTAGTTTCAATTCAATTTAAAAAAAATCCTTGATGACTAATTAAATCATAATTTCTACTTACCGTCACAATCGTAATGACTCCAAACCTCCATGAACTGATTTGCTGATAATTTCCGTAGCTCTTTAGATTCCGGATCTCTGTATTGCCGCATGAAATTTGCCGCTTTTTCTATATTTAATTTAGTACTGATCTCAGAGCTCATCCTATATTATCTGCAATTTAGTATCAAACTATTAATGATCTTTGTCGACATAGAAATATTTTTAATTTTCCGTAGCGTAAATCATCGTAAACGCCCAAAAATCTAAAATATTGTTTTTTACAAATATTTACGTTTCAAACATTTTGGCATACCTCAAAAAATGGATGAATGTGTGTGTGAGTGTGTGTTTTGTGTGGACACAATTTTTTGTCCACGATTTTGGGCTCATGGATCAATCGATTTGAATAGTCTTAAAATAATGAATAGTTTTTGGAAAACGGCAGGTCCAACCGTTTCGTATATACGAAATAATGAGTGCAGAAAAGGACAATGCAGTTTTTGAGAAAACGGAGTATCCGAATTGAATGATTTATGAAACATGTTATTTGTAATTATGGCAATACATGATGATTAGTTTTTCAAAGATAGGTCGACGAAAGAAAGGTAGAAAATTTTGCTATATTTTTTATACTTCTGTAATATTCTTTTTGAAATTAAATATTTCTCACGCATGATGTTACTAGGATTTTGGTTTGAAATTTCATGTATATCTGATCCTTCTTTACTATTTTCATCTATTAGCATTTCCTTATCATAATTAAAATTTATCGTATTAATTGCCATTGAAATCATTTTAAAGATTACGAAACACTTTGTTGAAAAGTCGGGCGGACGCCAGCCTTCTTAACCATATTGGCCAGATTGCATTATAAAAATTCTGTATGCATAATGAATTTGCTTATCACTTATCGATATTAACGATTAGGAGGTCAAACGCAAACTGTGTAAGCTATGGTTTAAATTATTTTTATGGTCTGTAACCATGATTTTAAATTGTTTACTGTTATTTGAAATTTTTCTGTTCATGTAGGCGTTTGCACAAATTTTGGCTTGTTTTGCCTATGTAAATGAGTTGACAGTCTGTATATTTTATTTGATAAACTAAGTTTTAGAGGCGGACTGTTTTAAATTTTAATTTGACTTAAGTAAAAATTAAGTTAAGTGTTATATCACAATTACATACCAACAATAGATCACGATGTTGGAATAATTTTCTCTACAAAAGATATAATTCTTCCATGATTGATAGGCAAATAATACCGGTGTATGGTTCCAAGTCTAAATGGTTATTATGATAGGTCAGGTTGCTTTTTTTGTCATGAAGGTACTTGCGTTTGTTATTTATAACTGAGTTTATGTAAACTTATGAGTATATTTATATAAACAAAGGTATGAGTTATTTTATCCCGAAGGAGAAATTTGTGTTTTCATCATAAAATCTAAATCGCTTATTTTATGTTTCCTCGACGTTTCAAGCCATTCTGAATCGAATAAAACCAAATTTGGAAAAAGTATGTTTTTGTGTATGTGAACAGATTTTTCAACTTTCACATGGGACATACATGCTATTTCAGTTGCTCGAAATGTGTTGTTTGTGGTTCAATTTTTTTTTTTTTTTTGGATATAATTTACATCTGTCCAATGGACATTAGGTAAATTTTATGAATAACAAAATAACAAAAAAGTTGTCTGCAAAATAAACTATTGAATGCTTGAGAGAGTGCACAGTTGCAATCTCTCCTCAATTAAGAAAATATTATTATCTAGATTGACTTGGAATGCCAGTTAGGTCCAAAGGCGTTTTACTTTTTAATCTTTTGGTGTAGTTTGCTGAGATGAGTGCCTTGGCAAGCCCGTTGGGATGGTTTGCCAGTCGGTGACTGTGCTTGATGGCGTATCTTGCAATTTCTTCTTTTACCGTATGCTTTACTAGATCTAAGGCTAAAATTCATGTTTGACCTCCGATTCCAGGAGCGGATTTGAGTACACTCTTGGTTGGAAAAGTTTTCAAACTGTATTTCTTCAGTGGTTTGCTCCTCCTGGAAGTAGTTTAGCGGAAATGGTTGTAATACATTTTCGAAGATATCAGCACATAAATCGACCTTTTCTTGATGACTTTTTGCCCAGGAGTTATATTTTTTCTAATAGAATTACTGGGAGTATAGGTTGTTTGAAATGTTTAGTAGCTTTCCATATGGAGTAATTCGTATCCTTAATAGCGTCAGGTCTTTGATTCTTTTTTCAAGTACGTTGTTGTTGTATTCTTTCAGTATTTTTCTTTTACTTCTTCACAGGCGCTGTTCAATCTTGTTTTATCTTGAGGAGATCTTGATGTTTGCCATATTTTCGGAGTCTTCTTTTAATCGCAATATGTTGTTTGATGTACAGAGGATATTGAGTTCATTACTATTTGTAATTGAAGGAGTGCTATTTAGTGCCGAATGAGGTAGTAGTTTTCGGTGTGATGATTTACCGCGTTATTTATGTCGTTTTCAGACTTTAATAACATATTACAATTTGAGTTGATATCTAGCAGTTCTCTAAATTTGTTCCAGTCCGAATTTGTTGGTAAGGTAAGGTTTTATGATAATCGTGGTTGTTTACAAAAAATGGTTTATAAACAGGAGAGTGGTCAGAGCTCAATCTAGGCTATTTTGAGGTTACATGTTACTGATTGTTATTCCTTTGGTTATGTTGTTAGAACTTTTTTGAGCAAAAGTTTCTCAAATATTTTGGAGAGGGTTGATAGTAAACTTATTGGTCGGTATGACTTCAGAAGACAATGATCATTATCTGTTTTGGGAATTAAAATTACTTTAGCCATTTTCCACACCTTAGGAAACACTTTTAATCTTAGGAGAGAATTGAACAGAATTGTTATGTACCTCAGAGTTTTTGGTGGAAGCTGTTTCAGGATTTGGATTGATATAAGATCATGGCCAGGAGATTTACTAGATCTAAAGGCTAAAATTTCATGTTTGACCTCCGATGCCAGGGAGCGGATTTGAGTACACTCTTGGTTGGAAAAGTTTTCAAACTGTATTTCTTCAGTGGTTTGCTCCTCCTGGAAGTAGTTTAGCGGAAATGGTTGTAATACATTTTCGAAGATATCAGCACATAAATCGACCTTTTCTTGATGACTTTTTGCCCAGGAGTTATCATTTTTTCTAATAGGAATTACTGGGAGTATAGGTTGTTTGAAATGTTTAGTAGCTTTCCATATGGAGTAATTCGTATCCTTAATAGCCGTCAGGTCTTTGATTCTTTTTTCAAGTACGTTGTTGTTGTATTCTTTCAGTATTTTTCTTTTACTTCTTCACAGGCGCTGTTCAATCTTGTTTTATCTTGAGGAGATCTTGATGTTTGCCATATTTTTCGGAGTCTTCTTTTAATCGCAATATGTTGTTTGATGTACAGAGGATAATTGAGTTCATTACTAGTTGTAATTGAAGGAGTGCTATTTAGTGCCGAATGAGGTAGTGTTTCGGTGTGATGATTTACCGCGTTATTTATGTCGTTTTCAGACTTTAATAACATATTACAATTTGAGTTGATATCTAGCAGTTCTCTAAATTTGTTCCAGTCCGTGAATTTGTTGGTAAGGTAAGGTTTTATGATAATCGGTGGTTGTTTACAAAAAATGGTTAGTATAACAGGAGAGTGGTCAGAGCTCAAATCTAGGCTATTTTGAGGTTACATGTTACTGATTGTTATTCCTTTGGTTATGTAGAAGTCTAACAGATCCGGATATGTGTTTGGGTCGCTCGGCCAATAAGTTGGTTCACCGGTTGAGATCGGGATTAAATTGTTAGTGAGCATGGAGCTGTAGAGTTCACGTCCTCTAGGATTGGTAAATCTTGATCGCCAATATGGATGTTTCGCATTATAGTCACCTCCAACAATAAACTTAATTCCTAGAGCACTGAAAATAATGTCAGAGTATTGATTGAATATTTTATGTTTTGGGGGGCAGTAAATGGAAGAAATTGTGATTATATTTTGAGGAAAATGTTTGTGGCTTGTAAAAACTCATTGCAGTGTGGATCTGACAGAAAATGTTTGATTTTAGACGTTATTATGATGGCTGTTCCGTCATGTGATTTGTCGTCTGGATGTTTAGTACTATATTGTGGAATGTTGAGGTAGTTTTTGCTAGTAAAATGTGTTTCACTGATTAGCATTATGACAATATCGTTATGACTAAGAAATTGTTTTACTTCTTGGTGGTGCTGCGCAAGACCGTTGGCGTTCCATGTACATAGTTTGTAGTATAAGGCCATTATTTTCTTAAAGGTAAAAGGTTTGTCAAAGTGTTTTAGTTCTTGCATGTTTGTTTGTTGGTTACTTAAAGTAATTATTTGCTGTTGATTGTCTGACGACAGTCCTCCTTGGTTGTCCCTGTGGTTTCTGTTGCTGTTTATGCTTCTAGAAGTAGCATCTGAAAAGGAAACGTTTGGACGGACGAAAGGTTGAGAATTGTCACTAGGTTGGGCGGGTTGTCTTCGCCTCGGGGGAGGGAATCTGCGTCGTCTTTCTTTTTTATAAATGGTGCCCCCTCTATAGCTGGCTGGGTGATTACCAGAACAAAGAGCACATTTAACGCCGGCGTTGACTGGGTCCTTCCAGGGGCAATCTTTTGTTAGATGCTCTTTGGCATATTTTACGCAGCGTGCGATGCGTTAACAATATTTTTTTGTATGTCCAAGATTTTGACATCTTGTACACTGCGGAACTTCTTTTCTATGGCGCATAGCTTCTATAGTAACTTTTGTTCTGTAGAGGTGTTCGATGGAATAAAAATCTTTATTATTATTGCTTTACTCAAGTTCCACTACAAAAATATTAAGTGGAGCTTTTGTAACTCTGTGTTTCATTGTGTAGATGCATACGACCATATGACCGAGTGTAATAATTTCTTCTGTAAGTGTTTCGATGTCAGTGCTATGGTGCAAATTTTTCACCACTACTTTAAATGTTCGCTTACACTTTGCTTGATAGGAGTGTAATTGTGTGCCCTTTTCATGTAGCATCTTTAAAACTATATAGTAGACGTGAGCATCTTTGGTATTAATTTTGACTTGATCATTTCCTACTATTTTGTATGAGTACTGACCTTTTACGTGAGTCTCAAGTAAACCAAATCAAGGTTTAATGTCGCTTA